CAATGGGTTTTTTGCTGTGAGACTTGCTTTGATTGCACACCTGCTCCTGCCTTCTGTGATCTGTGCAGCTTTGGCCCTGAGCAGTCCTGTGGCAGACCAGCTGAGTCTGGAGTTGGGAAAGGTCAAGGGAAGAAGCTGAATCTCATAGTCTGGTCCTATACAAACAAATTATCTGGTGGTGATAAGGGACAGATGAAACTAATGGCCAGGAGCCCAGTCCTTCTGTGGGCTGGGGTCCTGTGAACAGATGCAGACACTGAGGGAGAGATGGAGCAGCTGCTTTGGACAAGAGGGGAGCAGTGAGGATTTGGGTGCCCCGGACACATCACATCGTCTTGCTGGAACTGCCAAACAAGCCAGAAACCGGCCTCTATGGGGGATGCTCATCCCAGATAGACCACTGCTTTGGATACATCCCAGGAATCTTCTTACTCCGTGGCATGTCGCAGCATTTCCGTGATCCTCCTTTTGCAGGAGGATCTCTCTGCTTTCTGGGAAGATCTCCAGCCCAGAACTGACTGTGTGGCAGTTCCCACCATCCCTGTGTGCCTGCTGAATTTCCTGCTGACAGAATTAGTCACTTCTGCATCTGGTTTGTCCAGTCTGGCAGAGCACAGTTAAAAATACATCATGTGGCTTACAGAGCAGGAGTGGGAGGTCTGCTTTTCACAGGACTGAGCTGGGACTCTGCATGGAGGAATTGTGTGCAGGAGCCCTCTGAGAGGTCTATAAATCTGTGAGTGCTCCTTTTCCAACTTTCCTTATGAAGTCAGTACTCCAGGGGAAACTGAGGCATGGAAGAACTGGGGCAGTGTCTGCCTGACCCTTTCACTGGATTGGCATGTGGCTTTCCTGCCACTGTGACCAGAGGCCTCCAACACTGCCGTGGCAGTGCCAGTGAGGGCTGAGCGAGGAGGAGCAGGAGGAAGTAACTGCTCCAGTGACTAAGACAGAGAGAATATCAAGGGAGGTTTTCTGTTAATAATGTTTATTGGAGCAGTTTCCTCGAGAAGGGCGAGAGAGTCAGACCTTGAGTCACTTCGGGCTAGAGACGGTTTCTGGAGGAACCACGGACAAGGTGAGAGCAGGACATTTTCAGCTTCTCTTGGTTTAGAGCTGCTGCATTGGGCTGTTCCGAAGACGTGAGGGAGATGTGCAGCAACCATTAACTAAAGGAGATTAACATTGTAGTCATTATTTTCTTGGTTTAACTGTGATCTTTGAGCCTGCCTTGCCTGTGATTCTATCTGGTCTCCACCCAGCTCAGAGGATGGTGACCAGGAATTTTTCCCCAAAGCAGGAGTGGTGGCAGTGAAGGGAATGTGGAGCACAGGGGTTGAGCAGGGCAGAGGCTGAGCCACTTGCTTTGGGCTCAGACAAGTCTGGTCCTAAGGTCAAACAGGTCTTTTTCATGCTCAGTGTGGGCAGGGAGGATTCAACCTCTTACTCAGAGGTTGTGACACGGGGCCTCGTCTGACACCTTCCCGCAGGGCCTGATTCAGCATTCCAGTAGTGCTTGGGGGATGCTTCAGATCCTCGAGGTAGTCGGGAGAGAGTTTGCAGGAATGGCTCTTGCTTACCCAGGCTGTGGGTGAGAAGCTGCTCCTCAAAGCAGCTTCACACAAGTGTCAGCGTTGGCTGGGGAACATAATGGTCTCTGTAAGGTTTGGGGTGGGAGAGGACAAGAGCTGGAATACGAAACAGAGGGGAGGGAGGGAGGGAGGGAGGGAGGGAAACCTCTTTGGATCCGGTCTGGTATCTGCCTCCAATCACTGGGTAATTTCTGGCAGGTAACAGTGTCAGTGGCTGTTGTGCACCTTGTACAGGAGGAGAGACAAAAATAAGCTCCCCAGGAGTCCCCACACTTCCGTCATTTCTCTTGTGCTGTGGGTGTTGCTGCTGTCTCAGCTTTGGAGCAAGAGCAAACTGACAAAGGTGTGCTGTAAACTCACAGGTTTCATCCTTATTTTTTCCAAGAAAAGCAGAGAAATTGTCTATAGAAAGATCAGATGGTGAGTTTTCCTGCCTAATTCCTTGGTCACACCTCAGCCACTGGAGTACTGCGTGTGTTTTGTGTGTGTTTGTTCATGCTGGAGGCAGAGGGAACCTCTGTTTGCCTTCTAATTTAATCCCACTGATGAGTTTCTCCCTTTAAGAGTTTTTTCATTGCAAAGACACAACTTTAGCTCGAAGAGGATGTTAAAATGCATCTGCCACAGTGTTGTGCAGCCTGGCCTTGTACAGCAGCAGCTCTTGCTTGCCACTGAGCCCTGTTTTTTTCTGGCAGTTTGGTGAAACTCAAGTTTGGGAATTCTACAAAGAGTCCCCTCAGTGGAAGGGTTTTCTATTGGAAAATAGGGTTTTCTTTGTGGTTCTACCTCACTGCCCCCAGGAAGTCTGGGGAAGTTGCTGCTGTGTGAACAGATACATCATTTAAGCCCCTGAAGTGGTTTTCTTGCCACAGGCTCCTGCAGATGTTAATAGGGAATTAAATACTTTGCTTTCTGCTACCAACAGCAATGTCTTGGAAGTTCTGGGAAGGCTCAGCACTGGGAGCAGCCCCACGGTGGGAGAGGGAAGGTGCTTGCAAGATTTGTGGCTGGTTTCTTCTCTTTACCTGGTTGGGGGAGGGATTATTGCATGATTGGAAACCTGAGGGGAGCCAGATGGCTGTTTGGAAGACAATGTGTCAAACTCCAAGTAGTCTTGACTTTGACTGAAGAGTTTCTTTATTTAGGATGTCTGTATGTATTTAAGCTTTATTTTGCGTCTTGACTGTTTTAAAGTTTCCTTGGGTTATGTTGTCAAGCTTTTCCTGTATGATCACAGAGGCCAAACAGCATTCAGAGCATTCCCAATGGGATTGTCCTCTGTGGCCCTGCTAGGTCTGTTTATTCTGGGGATGGAAACAGTTCTTTCAGCCCAGCTTTAGGCAGTAAATCCCACAAATGAATGAAGGTTCCTTCCCTGTGTTGCCAAATGATAAACTCAGAGGATTTTGAGAGCAGGTGATGTGAAAGCTGGTTTGTTGCTCTGATCGTGGTGGCCTTCTGGTGTTTGCAGAGGATTAAACTTGTAGTCCTTGACAAAAACTCAGGGTAAGGTGCCTGTAACTTCAATTTCTGTGGAGAAGAGCCCCGGGCAAATACCACAGGGAGGAGGGGCTGTGGTGGGTTGTGGGAGGTGGGAGGAGAGGACAGGGGTTGGGTGAAGAAAAGGGCAAAAGGAGTGGGGGAATGGTGCAAGTGGGAGCTGGGCTTTCCTGCCAGGTAAGGCTTGGGAAAGATAAGATGGTGAAGCGCATAAGGGGAAGTGCAGTGAGGTTGCTTGAGTTTGCATGAGAATGCAGAAGGCTTTGTCAACAACATCCCCTTTGCTGGTTGTTTTTCCTAGAATCACAGGCTGGTTTGGGTTGGAAGGGACCTTAAAACTCACCTTGTTCCACCCCCCGCCGCTGCCATGGGCAGGGAGACCTTCCACTAGGTGAGGTTGCTCCATCCTGACCCTGGACACTTCCAGGGATGGGGCAGCCACAGCTTCTCTGGGCAACCTGGGCCAGGGCCTCACCACCCTCACAGGGAAGGATTCCTTCCCAATATCCCATCCAACCCCGTCCTCTGCCAGTGTAAAGCCATTGCCCCTTGTCCCATGAAGCCATATCCCCCTTGTCCCTATTTTTTCTGACCGTTAGGGGCTTGTGACTTTTGCACCAAATGAACACGAGCCATTAGAGTAGGTTTGTGTCAGCTCTGGGCTGGGAGAGGACAGGCAGTGTCTGACCCGGGGTTATGTCTGTGGGACAGCCTTACCCCTTCCCGGGCACAGGGGTGTGTGTGATTGCCATGGATTTGGGTGAGTCAGCACTTTGTGTCCCTGCTGTCATCAGAGCCCAGGGAGCTGCTGGATGCCTGGTAAGGGGAAAATGGGAGGGTAGTGAGCAGAAAGGTGAGGGATCCCTATGGTTTGGGCTGTTTGCAGCAGGTAGGGAGCCCTTCCTACCTGAGAGAGGCACAGAATGAAAGTAGAAGATGTTGTCATCTCTGCCCATGAGGGTTTGCCAGCTCTGGGAGGACAGGAGGTGCCAGAGTGGGTGTGGATCCAGGCCCCTGACATCAGCCTGTGCCAAGGATGCTGTGTGGGCATCCTCTGAAAACATCTGGATCTGCAGCTCTTCTGACTCCCCCAGGGCTGGAGATGCAGGTACATGAGCAGGGCGAGGACAGAGGGAGGGAACCAAAGGCTGGAGAAAGTGAAACCCCAGGGAACCGAGGGTTTCACAGCTGATGCCACACAGGCCTTCCTCTTCTTCACCCAGCCCAGTGTGGAGTAGGTGGAAGCAAGAGCTGTGTGATGTGGGTGTTATTCCTCCTCTTTTTGGGATCTGCTCTTCCACATCTTGTCCTGAGAGTCTGGCTGCCTGTGGTCTGTGGGGATGTCTTGTGTGTTCAGCTTAGTTTTTTTGGTTTATTTCTTTTCATGGGTGTTTACTGGATGGGAGATTCCAAGCAGAAACACAGGAGGGCTGTTGGCCCAGGAGACATCACATAGCACTGTGAAAATGTTCAGGGAGGAAGTGGCTTGATTTCTTCTTTTAGAGAAATGCTATTTATAGTGAGCTGTGCCCCACAAGCTGCAGTGACACACCTGCCACCAGTGAAGGGGTGAATTTTTCTCCGCCATTTCATCTGCTGGCAGGCACATCTCAGAGGTTGTGGGCTTGTGACCTGCCATGGTCACGGGAGGGTGTGTGGACCTGCCCCTTGAGCTCGTGACCTTGTGTTAGGCCCAGAAAGGAATTAGGTGTGTGCAGAAAAGCAAAGGACAGGCCTTCAGGGTGCTGTGGGGTGGCTGTGGAGCTGCGATGCTGAGGTTTCCCTGTGCCCTCAGTGCTGGGGAGTTGCCGCGTTCCCTGTCCACAAACCTGCTCCAGGCTGCTCTGTGGTTCCAAACCAGGCTTTGAGAACAGCCGTCCCACCGTCCTGCCTTCTTTCCTCTCCCAGGACATGAACCACCTGGATGAAGGGGTGGAGTTCCTCCCTGCCATGAACTCCAAGAAGGTGGAGAAGCGTGGCCCGAAGCGACACGTGGTCATCACCGTCCTGGTCGTGGTTTTCCTGCTCGTCTCTCTCACCACTGGCCTCCTGATTTGGCACTTCAAATGTGAGTGTGACATCAGGAGGGTGGTGGCATCGAGGGCGATACCCTGCTGTTGTTACCAGCTTTTTTACCTGGTGTTGCTCACATGTGCCCTTCCTAGCTCTGGGAAGGCTCCAGGAGGTGGGAGGACACCACTTCCACCCCTCTGCCCCGATTGCTGTCACTGGGGACCTGCTGTACCATAATCCCAGCCCTCACTGCCCTTCCTGACCCTGAACTCTTCCCTTCCAGACAGGAACGCGCCCGTCCGGAAGGTTTTCAATGGCCACTTGCGGGTTCTGAACTGGGAATTCCTGGATGCCTACGAGAACTCCAGCTCTCCAGAGTTCAGCATGTTGGCCCAAAAGGTGAAGAGCACGGTAAGAGGCTTCTTGCATCCCTCCTCCTGCAAGCAGGAATTTTCCTCTTTCCCTGTGCCCATGGGGTTATTTCGTGTAAGATTCCTTGGAGCTTCCTGGCTCCTCTCAGCTTTCCTCGCTCTCTGTGACACACTGGTTGGGAGCAGGGACATGCCTTGGAGCTGGGTCTTGGCATCCCAGCTCCAGCCTGGTGCCGTAGGAGCTACCAGGGCACATCCCAGAGTCAGGGGATGAATCAGGGCTGGGAGCTGAGGCAGGAGGGTGTCTGCTCTGCCTGCTGAAGCCGTGGCTGGTCTTACCTCTCCCCTCAGAGTCAGGGATTTGTGCTTCTCCTGGGAAGAGTGGGGAGAGCTGAGTCAGAGGAGGCTGTGCTATGCAGGTCTGGGCTCTTCTGGGACTCTCAACTCTCCTTCTTCCTCTCTTTGGCTCTGCAGGTTCCTGCAGCCAGGGATGCCGGGTATGTGCCCTGATTTTCCACAGTGGGCTTGAAGCTCTGTCTGTCTGTAGCTTTTCCCCCTTCCTCACTTCTAGACGTGCTGAACCCTCCCTTCAACCCTTTCAGGTGGAGGAGATATACAGGAATCATGCAGATATTGGCCCTTACCACAAAGAGACAGTGATCACTGCCTTCAGGTGAGTGTTCAGTGCTGCCTGAGCCAAGTCTGAGAGTGGAGGAGGGCAATGCTGGGATATCACACAGACATTTACCGTCATTCCCGGGGTGCTGTGGGTGGAGGCACCCCAGTAGTCACCGTGAGTGACACAGGAAAGGATGGGCAGTGAAAAGCGATCCGAAAGTGTGTATTGTTTTCTGGCAGATGTCCTGGGAAAATCAAGGTGTGGTGAAGTGAACTGCAGTGAGTGGTACCTGGCAGCTTTGAGAGGGACTCCCCGGGGTGGCAGCGGCCTTTACTGGGCACAGTTTGCTTAACTTACCCTTGAGACTCTCCCTTCCCCATGGCTGAAATCCAAAAATGTCTCTCTCAAGTAGCCTGGCCCCTTCTTCTAGTGGTACTTGAACCTTCCCATGTCTGTCCTTGCCCTCAACCCAACAACTGCCCTTCCCACAGCGAAGGCAGCGTCATTGCCTACTACTGGTCCGAATTCCTTGTTCCCAAGTACCGGGAGCAGAGCCTGGACAGGGCGATGGCCGACAAGCAGAGCCTGGTGCAGAGGTGGAACCCCCGCCTGCGAAACCCCCTGCTGAAGGTGGAGTCGGTCATCGCTTTCCGTGAGTGTTGGCTCCGCCGTCCCTGGGCATCCGCGTGGGACTGGGGGGATATGTCACTGGAGAGGGAAGGTGCTGGCCACAGCCCTCCTCTGGGGGCCTTCAGACAACCCTCAGGGTGGGTGTAAGGACCTGGATTTCACAGCATGGCTTAATGGGATGTACAGACTGGGGAAGGCTGCACAGACCTGCTCTGTGTTCTCCTCTGAGCTGAGTGCAGAGGGACAGGGATGAATCCTCTGTCTGCTGAGGAAAAGCTCAGTCCCTCAGCTCCCCAGAGCCTGGGCAGGAGCAGCCTGCCCTGGCCAGCCTGCAGGGAGAGACCTCACAAGTAAGGCCAGATCAGTGCAGGTCCTGGGGACGACCTCAGCTTTGTGCCCAGGGATTTTCCATAGCCCGAAGGATGACACCAGCTCTGTTTTCTCCTGCAGCTGTGGACCCCAGCATAGCTCACTCGGCCCGAGACAGTAAGTACAGTTCTTCAATCTCAGTGGCCTCTTTAGGGTGGTGATTTCCCTTGCAGGATGGGGAAGGGTCTGGAGAGGGGTGCTCTGCATGCAAGGCAGACCCCAGTGTGCTCCTTGGAGCTGATGTGGGGTCAGACAGAGTGTGGCACAACTGTTATCCAGCAAGCATGTCCCCTGCAGAGGCATCTGCTCAGGGACAGCCTGCAGGCAGAGGAGGAATTAGTCTCTGCATCCCAGAGAAAGGCAGGGCAGAAGCTTGTGTCCTGGTTTTAAGCCCAGCTGGAGCCACTGTTCTCATTCGCAATCCAAAATGCAGCACTGTAACAGCTGCTGAGAAGAAATGACCTGTACCCTGGCTGGAACCAGGACACCTTGCTAACTGTTCCCTGCTCTCTGGGCAGACAGCTGCATGTTCTCCCTCCATGCCGAGGAAGGGCAGGTCACCAGTTTCACCACGCCGGGCTTCCCCAACAGCCCGTACCCCAACAATGCCCTCTGCTACTGGGCACTGAGGGCAGATGCCAGCTCCAGGATCAGCCTCACCTTCAAGACCCTGGAGCTGGAGCCCTGCAGAGATGACAGTGACTACATCAAGGTCTACGACTCCCTGAGCCCTGTGGAGCCCCACGCTTTGGTCAGGTCAGTGTCCCCGGGATGTTCCTGTACAGCACTGAGCACTGAGATTCCTGCTGGGACCTGAGCTCCTGTCCCTGCTCGGAGCTGACCTGTGCAGCTGTGCCTCATGGATTCTGTCCTTTGCTTCCTAGGCTTTGTGGGAATTACGCCCCATCCTACAACCTGACCTTCCTGTCCTCCCAGAACGTCATGCTCATCACGTTGGTTACCAACAAGGAGGGGCGATTCCCTGGCTTTAAGGCTGAGTTCTTCCAGCTCCCAAAGATGAAAGGTGAGCAGAGCCCTTGGCCTGTTTCCCCCACCTCTCCCTGCGAGGGGCAGCTGAACAGGGAGGTGAGTGTGGCTGCAGTCAGTTTGCCAGGGATGTTTCCAGGGCTGGAGCACCTGGAAACAGGTCACATCTTGGCCTTGCCCACAGTGCTCTTGGCTGCTGTAATGACGTCCCCTGAGGAGGCCAAAATAGGTGTTACGTTGGGTTAGACATGCAGATTGGTGTATGCAGGAAGCACCTAATTGATCTCCTGGGCTCTCTCAAGCAGAGCTGGTCTCTCCAGAGAGAGTGACTTAACCTTGTTAGACACTATTGCCTCTGCCTCCCTTCCTGCCTCGGGTGACAGCCAGCTGAGGCTTGGGCAAACCACATCTCTGAATCTCTAACCTGTTTTTGTCTTCTGTTTATCTTCAGCCTGTGGTGGGACCCTGAAGGGAGAGAGCGGCACCTTCACGACTCCCTATTACCCGGCACACTACCCCCCAGACACAGACTGTGTGTGGAACATTGAGGTGAGGTGGGCCCTCTCTGTCCCTTCATTAGGCTGTCCAATGACTCTGGTCATGCAGACACCAAGGGAGCTCGCAGCAGCTGCTGCCCGGAGGCTCTGAGTCTGGCGTGGCTGAGGGAGGTGTTCAGAGCTGGGGGCAAAGGCTGAAGAGGCAGTGAGAGACCTGAACCCCACGTGACGCTAATAGTAGCCCCCCAAAAAACTGTAGCTTCACACAAAAAGCATGAGAGTGGGGGCTTTGGGGCAGTCCAGTCACTGGCTGGTGACCAGAGATCTGGTTTCCACCCCCTCTGTGTGCCTGTTCCATCAGAGATCCTGGGACTGGGGTGGCTCATAGTGACTTTTATGAAGGTGTTTCTTTTCCTTCTGGAGAACTGACTTCTTCCTGTTTTCAGTTATCTTCTATCCTCTTTCCGTGAAGCTTATTCCCTTTTCCTTGCTCCAGAAAACAGCATCCCTACTGACTCTGCTCGCTTTTGCAGGTTCCCTCTGTAAAGAATGTGAAGGTGCGTTTCAACATGTTCTTTGTGCTGGAGCCCGGGATCCCCGTCAGCTCCTGCACCAAGGACTATGTGCAGATCAACAGCACAAGGTGGGTGTTGGGTGCTCTCTGACCCCATGGAGGGGCTTTGTTTAGTAACACAGAACATTGTGCTTTCCTTAAACCTGCTGTGGGAAGTGTGCTGGTGCTCTTTAGGATGGGATGAGGCAGGAGGGTGCTGGGATTTGCCCTGTGGTGAGAGGGGATGAGACCCAGCTGCAGCTGAATCCCCCCGGATTCTGTCATGGCACATGGCTCATGTGAGGGAAGGCAGAAACATCTGGGGTGGGTTTGCTTGAATGAGCAAATCTCTGTTCTCAGGACAGTTCCGTCGTGTTCTGTGATGCATTTCCTGATGTATTGACCATGTGCTGTTACACAGCATGATGGAACCTGAGCCAGACAACTTGGTACCGCACAGGGACATGATTAGTCTTGTTTTGCAATGTTTTGGGCAAGGAAGCTGACCCTGCCTCACAGAGAGGGTTCTAAGTCAGCACTTGCCTCTACAGTCCTGAGTTCCTGCAGTGCTACTTGTGTACATGATCGCACCTGCCCATGGTGGGATGGGATCCTGCACAAATCCAGCATATCTGAGATCAGACACATCACTGGGGCAGGCAGGGATGTGGAAGAACTTGTTCACAGTCATTCTTAAGGTCACAAGCTGGTGTTTGCAACTGGCTCAAACCTACTGTGAGTGGCAGCAGAATTTGGACCCTGAGGCCCGGCAGTTTGTGCTGGGATCAGACCTGCTCCCTGCTCTCCTGCCCCCTCAGCTCTGTGCTGATGGGAGGTCAGGGATGGAAGGAAGTTTGCTACAGCACTTGACTCCCCTTTGCCCTGCAGGTACTGTGGGGAGCGCTCCCAGTTTGTGGTGGCCAGCAGCACCAACAAAATCCAGGTCCGGTTCCACTCAGACCAGTCCTACACGGACACGGGCTTCTCTGCAGAGTACCTGTCCTACGACTCCAGCGACCGTGAGTTGGAACCCTGGGGCTGGGGGAGAAACTGATTTCCCTGAGATCCAGAGCTGCTCCTCCTCCGTGCTTCCCTGGCCTTTTCCAGGGGCATAGCAGCTTGTTTATTTTACTGCAAACCTCATTGTGTCCCTGCTATGTTCTGCTGGAGGCAGGCACATGGAGCAGTGTGTGCTTTGGGGAAGGGAGGTAGAGGGGACACCTGGAGGGCTCACGTGTGGTTTTACTCCCTTCCCCCTCCCAGCCTGCCCTGGCAAGTTCACCTGCAACACGGGTCGCTGCATCGACCGGAGCATGCGCTGTGATGGGTGGCTGGACTGCGTGGACGGCAGCGACGAGAGATCCTGCAGTAAGTCCATCCTTGGTTTCCCTTTGGCATGGCATGGCATGGGAAGGGTCATGATGCCTTGGGGTGGCTGTTCTGGGGGTATTTGTTCTGGGCAGTGTGCCTCGGTGCTGCCTGGAACCAGTGCTGCCGCCGTTCTCCAGACTGCAGTGAGGCACTTGATGTGGAATCTGTTTGGGATCCTTTCCCAGCCTAGGAGCTGTGAATTCCTGCTAATCCAGCCCTCTCCCAGCGGCATCTCTCTCCATTTCCAGTCCCGCTCAGCTGGGAATGTGTTTTTCTGTGTAATCCTCCTGGTTGTGGGTTTGGCTGAGCTGGGTGGTGTGAAGGGACACGTTTTGTTACCCAGCCGGGCAGGCTTTGCAGAGCACATCTGGAAAACCTGTGGGATACATGGAGTTGTGTCTTTGTGCAACAAGTTTTCCTCCTGAATTAGCAGAGCTGTCCTGTAGTTAGTGTTACTGTCCAGGGTCTGCGGTTCATTAGAGAGGATGGAATCCCCTAGATTGGGATCTGGTTCCCAGGGGAGGGGCAGTTTTCTGAGGAAGAGTGGCCCATGATCAGGGTTTCTCAGGTGCTTTCCTGCTGCTTGTAGCAAGTGCTTTGCTTCAATTGTTGCCTGAGGCTGTCCTGCAGTGATGTCAGCTTCAGCCTCTGCTGCCTGAGACAGGACAGTTCCAAATGGTTTGGTTCTCCAGAAAAGTGGAAATACTGTGCTCTAGCCCAAGTGTGTTGTGTATCTATGTACACGCGCATGGTCTCGAGCTGTTTGGTGGGTTCCCAAGTGTTTGCACACCCGCTGGGAGAGCTGCCATGGTAGATGGGTCGCTGGTGACTCCACAGGTGCCTTTGCAGGTCTCTCCCCTGATTTCTAGCATTGGAAGGGACTGCCCAGGGAGGTGATGGAGTCCCCGTTCCTGGAGGTATTTAATACATGGCTGAACATGGCACTCAGTGCTCTGGTCTGGGTGACAAGGTGGGGATCGGTCACAGGCTGGACTCAATGGTCTTGAAGGTCTTCTCCAACCTTAATGATTCTGTGATTCTCACTGCCCTTTTCCAGGCTGTACTGAGCAGCAGTTCAGGTGCCAGAATGGTTGGTGCAAGCCCAAGTTCTGGGTCTGTGACAATGTGAACGACTGTGGTGACAACAGTGACGAGCTGCAGTGCAGTGAGTGACTCGCTGAGGGCTGGCGTAAAGGGGACTGGGACTGTGGAGGCTTGTGGGATAGAGGGAAGCAAGTGCTGTGCTGGAAATGAGTGGGCAAGAAACCCAAAATAACAGCCAGGCACGGGGCATGGCAAGGACTCATCTGATGCAGCCTCCTTGAGCCCCGAGCGAGAGCTCGGAGGAAAGAAGGATGTGCAGAGGGGTAGGAAACGTGGGTTTGGGGGAAAGAAAGGACTGAGTAACTGGGGGGTGGTGTGCAGTTTGGAGAAGAAGAGATTGGAGACACAGACAGGATGCTGGAGCTGCAGAGGCTTTGCTTGGGGAAGGCAGTGGGCACAGCCGTGTGTTGAGGTGCTGCAGGAGCTGCAGCAGCCCTGCCCTCAGGAGCTGCTCTCTGTCCTCAGGCTGTGCAGCCGACAGCTTCAAGTGTGACAACGGGAAGTGTGTCCCCAGCGCACGGAAGTGTGACGGGAAGGATGACTGTGGGGACGGGAGCGACGAGGGCAGCTGCAGCACAGGTGAGGGTGCACTGTGGGGGCACCTCTCTCGGATGCAGCCTCTGATGGATTTCTTGGTGGTTGGGCATCCTGGCGTGTGTTTTCTCATGGGGTTGGCATGTCCTGGAGATGGGGGGAAGAGGTGATGGGCTCCTGGGCAGTGTGACCTCCCCAGAACTGGGTCTGACCCCTGTCTCTCTGTCCTGCCTGCAGCAGGTCAGACAACAGTGCCCTGCAAGGAGTACACGTACAAGTGCCGCAGCGGGCGCTGCATCAGCAAACAGAACCCTGAGTGTGACGGGGAGCAGGACTGCGAGGACAACTCTGATGAGGACAACTGCAGTGAGTGCCCTGGGAATGGGGGGAACACTGGATTCTAGGCTGGGCCTCTTAGAGAAACACCCCAGTGTGGCAGAGAGAGCCTCTGGGTATTTCTGTGCGGTGGCTTGATCTGGAAATACCAGGATGTGTTCTATATCAGCCTGGGGAGTGTCTGTGTTGTTCAAGATGGGGAATACAGGAATATTTGCACATTTATGTATTTAGGAAGTAAATATTATAGCTAATGTAGCGTCAACCCTCCCTGACATGGGTAGCGGGGCACTTGTGCTGTCAGATATCCCCAAGGAACAGAGGGGAGGTATGGAATCAGAACAGGAGTAACCAAGCACCCCTTTCCTCCCCACCCCAGACTGCGGGACCCGTTCCTACGTCAGGAAGTCGCGGATCGTCGGCGGGCAGAACTCGGATGTGGGAGAGTGGCCGTGGCAGGTCAGCCTGCACGTCAAGGGCCAGGGCCACATCTGTGGGGCTTCGCTGGTCTCGGAGAGCTGGCTCGTGTCAGCAGCTCACTGCTTCCTGCCCCTGCAGGGCATCAGGTACAGGAGAGCCGGGTCCATCCCTTTTCAGGCATTTCAGTAGGAAACCACCAATTTTGAGGGGCATTTCTCGAGGAAACTGTTTAAGGCAGCAAACTGTGAGATGAGGCCTCACCCTGTTTCTCGTGCCCTGTGCAGGTACTCAGACCCCAGCCTGTGGACAGCCTACCTGGGCCTGACCGACCAAGGCGACCTCAGCAGCCCCAACGTGCAGACACGGAAGATCAAGCGCATCATCTCCCACCCCTTCTTCAACGACTACACCTACGACTACGACATCGCCGTGCTGGAGCTGCAGAGCCCCGTCACCTTCTCGGCCGTCGTCCAGCCCATCTGCCTGCCCGATGCCACCCACAACTTCCCTGTGGGCAAGGACCTGTGGGTGACTGGCTGGGGAGCGACTGCGGAAGGAGGTGAGCGCTGGTGTGGGAATTTGGGGCTGCACTTATGTATTTTATATAGTTTTCCCAGAGAAACCGTGGCTGCCCAATCCCTGGAAGTGTCCAAGGCCAGGTTGGACAGGGCTTGGAGCAACCTGGGCTAGTGGAAGGAGTCCCCTGCCCATGGCAGGGGGTGGAACAAGATGAGTTTTAATCCCTTCGAGACCATTCTGTGATTCTATGATTTTTGTGTTTCTTGAGGGTAAAAAAGTGGGAGCTGCTTCAAAATGTGTATTTTACTTACCCTCACAGGCACTGGAGCCTCCATCCTGCAGAAGGCAGAGATCAGGCTCATCAACCAGACTGTGTGTAACCAGCTCCTGACGGACCAGTTGACGCCACGTATGATGTGTGTGGGGATCCTGACTGGGGGTGTGGATGCCTGCCAGGTAGGGCAGCACCTGGAGTTAGTGCTCTTTGCTGTTTATTCGTTAGGGAGGCAGGCCATTTGCACGTATATTTACACTTTTAACCTACAACAAATGTATGTGAATCCTCCTGAATTCAGACAACAGACAGATTGGAATGGGTGCCAGCAGCAACTTGTGTCGACACATGACTTAGTCTCGAAAAGTGCAGGACTTATACTCAAAACCACCTGACCAAGTAGGAGATACAACCCCATCCAGCTTCTGGCTGTTTGTTATTCTTAGTTAGCAAGACAGACTGCTTGATTTTATAGCTATGTTCTGGCTTTGTAACTCTTATGGCCAGACTTAAATTTGTTTCAGGGAACGACCAAAAAATTGTGCTGACTTAGAATTGTTTTTGAGATGTGGCGTTACTGACTGATTATTTTTTGCTCAGTTTTGACTTTAACACTTTGCATTAGGATGCTGTAGGGGGTTGGTGCTCATGCTCCTTCCTGTGTGTTTGCGTGCAGGGAGACTCCGGGGGCCCCCTGGTCAGTGTGGAGCCCAGCAGTCGGATGTTCCTGGCCGGAGTGGTGAGCTGGGGGGATGGCTGTGCCCAGAGGAACAAGCCTGGAGTGTACAGCCGGCTCACCAGCCTGCGAGACTGGATCCAGCAGCACACAGGCCTCTAGGGATGGATGGATTCCTACCTGGACACCTCTTGGACAGTACTGGCTGCCACTTGGCACTGCCAGCTATGCACAGCCTCTACTGTGAACTTCAACCCTCCCTCTACCTCGCTGCGAGCGCCTGGGACTCCCTGTGCACCAGAGCTGATGGTTTGGTTCAGTCCTTAGTCTTCCCAACTTAGAAATTCATGTTTGGAGAAGTTTTTCCCTTGGTGGGTAAGCTAGTGCAGCTCCCATGAACAACCTGAACGAGCCATCATTCAAGATTACGTATAATAATAAACTTAAGAAATAATAAAAAAAAAAATTAAATTTAAAAAGAAGAAAAAAGAGACAAACACTTTTTGTTTAGAGGTGAACTTTATTGGACAGGTTCAAAAACATGCTTTCAGAATATATTCTAAGTCCTGCATTTGTTTTCAAATGGCCATCCACACTGTGGTGTTCAGTCATGGGGGGTGGAGAAGGGAGGTCTTACCATCATTTTAGGGGGGTCCCCTTCTTGTCCCATGCTGTGGTCTTCTCCTCTGTCCTCTGTCCAACTCAGCTTCTGGCCTGGCTGAGTCCAGGGCTGGAGGCCAGAAAGAGAGAACCCATCACTCACCCTGAGGGAAGCCATGGGAAGAGCTGCTTGCACAGATGGAGACCCCAGGGCCATTGGCATCACCACACTGTGCCTTAACTCCACTCTGGGCTGAGCTGATGCAGCTTCTGCTGAGCTCCAGGTGCCAGAAGTCATGGTGGAGAGCACAGGGGCTGCACTGAATCCGTCCTGGAGTGCTCCCTGCAAGGACAACATGGGTCACCTGTGCCCACACCAGCCTTACACCCATCCTACTTTTGTAAAGAAAAATGTGACTTGTGAATGTGCTGATTTCCTTCCTCTCTCCTGTGTAGCCTGTTCCTTGCTCCAGCAGAGCACACTCCAGTTGAGTTGAGTTAGTACCTTCCTCACCTGTAAATACATTGTTTTGTAAAACTCTCTGAAGTGAGATGCTCCAATAAACTGGGATATTTTCTAGTACTGTGTCTGTGTGGTTCTTCCTGAGCTTCTGTGCAAATGTTCCCGAGTCAGAAACGAGCAGCACAGACCCCCAGTGCTAAGAGGGAGTGGAGCTGCTCCACATAAAACACTTGAATACTGCACCCCCGTGCACAGCAGCTCCACTGTGATGAAGAAACAGAGTCTAGGGAGAAATCCTCACAAAAACCAGCTGTAAGGGCTCACAGGAGAATGGTCTGTGCCCCAGCCCTCTCTGCAGAGAAAGAGAGGTAAGGAACATTTTTATATCTGTGCTTACACGATGCTGCAGCAACATAAAAGAAGCATTTACTGTGGTCACTGTTGCCCAGGGAGCAGCCATTTGCAGCACTGAGCTGTCACAGTCAATAAGGCACAAATGGTTTAATTCCAGTGTCCCAGTTTGTAGGTAGCCCTGCCAGACATGCCCCACAAAAAGCTTCCCTAAATTTGAGGTATTATGGATGATGATCCCCAGAAGTGGCCTGGGATAACAGGGTGCAATAGGAGTAAAGAGCCCCTTGCACCTGCACCCAGGGGAACTGCAGTGGGATGTTCCATCACCTGCTGAGGACAAGATCCAGTGTCTACTCACTCTCTGTTGTGCCCACACATGGTTTGGGGATCCTGTCACATCCAGAAGGATTGCTGAGCCAAGCAAGGGTGCAGGAAATGCTTTTCCAGACGGAAGTGTGAATCCTGTGCAACCAAATCTGGAAGAGAAGTGTGTTCAGACAGGTTTTGCTTTACCAAGAGCAGTGTCACTCACCACAGCTCCTCTTTCCTCCCCAACAACCCCATTCCAGGCTGGCACTGAGCACATGGGGGCTCTGAGGGGCTAGCTTAGCCCTGCAGCCTTTCCTTGCCCTGTGTGTGCTGGAGCGCACAGACCAGCAGAGCTCCTCGGATCTCATATCACCTGCCCTGAATTACTGGGGTTGGGGGGAGATTTCCTAAATGCCTTTTTGGCTCAGGCATCAAATTCATCCTTGCTTTTGCCAGCGTATTTCCTTTAAGCCCCAAACACACACATAACTGGGATTCAATTCTCTGGGAAGAGCACACTGGCTTCTCCAAGCAACCTCTCAGTGAACTTGGGGTGAAGAGCTCCTTCCTCCCGCTGCTGTAGGCTCACAGTTTCAACACAACTCGAGGGGACAATTTCAAGCTTTGTGTAAGATCACTCAATGCAGAAGCAGAGACAAAAACCCCACTGTGTTTGTTCTTGTCATCATAGTATTTCTACTGTGCAGAGGAAGAGCCTGTTGTCCCACGTCATCCTCAGTCCTACACCTGCAAGGAAAGGGCTCAGGCTTCCAAAGCATTTCCCTCTGGCCAAGTACAGAGGTATAATCTGGCCATCCTTCCCTTCACAGCTCTTTTGTGCTCATTGAAAAGGGCAACAAGGATGGACATGGATAAAAATATTCTTGCAACCAAAGCACAAATAAAGCAGCAAGGGCCATGCCTGACTCTTCTGTGTTTGATTTCAGAGCAGCAGCTGCCCCTCACTCACCCCACATTTCTCCCTCCATCCTCAGGCTCCATGGTGCAGGAATGGCTGCACCTGTAGAGCATCACACTGGAAAGGAAGAGGTAACCACAAAACCTCACTGCTTCCTTCTGGGAGGCACCTTATAGAGGCAGAGATACCTGCAGGCTCTGGGGGAGAGGCTGACCTGACTGCTCCCCTGCACAGATCCTGCTGCTCCCCAGCCTTACAGAACAGACAATTTCCCCTCACACATCCCAGAAAAGAGAGAAACATCCCACCAACTGGCCACCAAAGGTCCATCTTGCTCCCAGGCCATCAGTACAGCAGGACTATGTGAAAGCTCAGTTCCTTCTCCAACAAGAACCAGTCCTTCATAAGGATTACAAATAAATAAATAAATAATGCAAGAAATACAGAAACCCCCCCAGGTCCTTGAGCTCCAACCCCACTAGATGTCCCTCTCAGCCCAGGGAAGGGCTCCTGAAGCAGCATCACCAGGAAGGAGGTCCAGGGAAGTGGGAAGGAACAGGTTGCAAGTTCCAGATCCATCTCCCGAAGTCCGGAGAGGAGGGAGCCAGGAGGAGAAAGAATGAGCGGGCAGGAAAGGGAAACAAGCGTAGGCAGGATGGAGAACTGAGCCAGGCAGCTCAGAGCAGCTAGCCTTGCCTGCAAGATGCCAAGTAAGGACTTTGGGGGGGAACAGCAGCTCTGAATCAGCTTGGAAAGTCTCATCCCTCAGTTAAAGGTCCAAGAGTTCACTGGAAGTCACCAGCTAGAGTTTCATTCTCGCAAGCAGCAGCTCCCAGGCTCTTCCCCCTCTCTCTCAGCACTCAGAGGCATCAGAGAAAACTCTTTCACTTGTTTCATGTTAAAAGAACCCTCTTGTCAGACCCCAGAAACTGCATTTCAGGTTGATGCAGCACACTTCTGACGTCACAGGATTTCAGGAACACAAACACAAACCAGTCCCAGTTTGTGCTCAGAGCTGGTAGGGGCAAAACACCACTGAACTGGGGATACGAACTCAGGAGTCACATCAAATGGTGGCAACGACCAGGGGTTTGTGTAATCCAGCAGCAGCTCAGGCTTGTCCCCAGGCACACAAAATACAAGGGGCTGGCATTTGTGTCTTACTGCACTGGTCATCTTAGAAACTGTGAGAAAAGTAGAGACCAGGGAGCCCAACACACACACTGGGGGCAACTTCTCACTCTGGGAAGCCAACACAGTCAACAGGGTCAGGAAACAGGGAGCAGAGAGGGTTTTGTGCTGCTGGGAGTTATTGGGATACCGGGACAGCAGTGGGGGGGGAGGAAAAGGTGCATCCCCTGGAAGTGAACCCAGGCAAGGCTGCCCAGAAGTCAGCTCCCCAGTGGGACTTACAGGAAACAAGCCCCCAGGAAGGCATGCCAGATCTCCAGGAGGAATTTACAGCTGATTAACCAAAGGAAGAAATCCTACACGTTGCTCGGAGAACCTTTCACACCCCCTGGCTTCTCCCATGGAATGGCAGCAAAAGGATCAGGCTGGGGCTCTACTTCTGCACCCCGAGCCCCACAGACCATCCTGCTCCACATCCCTTCTCTTTTGGATGCCACAGGCTACTCCAGGCACCTTTACACCCACAGCAGTTTTGGGTGCTTAAAAAGTCCTTTTGGCATCGAGGATTGTCTCCTCTTCTGTCACTCCTCACTTCTCTGCCCCCTGCCCTTCTTGGCTGGCCCCAGGCATCGATGCTCCCTGTGGGTCCCTGGCTCCTGCACTCACTCTTGGCCCTTCCACCAGATCTCTTTTGTGCTCACAAAACCAGCCCCCACTACCATCCTCAATCACATCTTTCCTCACGTTCATTACACCAGGTGTTGTTCATTCCTGCAGCTGAGCATAGCAAGGTTTAGACCTCACTTCGTTATCCAACACATGCACAGCCAAGCCAGTGGGGCTGGAGAGCCTGAATGTTGCCTGAGAAGTGCTAAAGAGGGGGGGGAACCCTCTACAGTCGTTTTGGGACTTGTCTTATCTGGGAGACAAGAGCCTTTCACGCAGACACCTGTGCCTGTTGACCAGTTCGGCACCAGTTCCCACCAGTAACAGCCTGTCCCCCACTACTCATGAGCTCTGAAGAAATCAAGTACATAAAAACCCCATCTGTACAGTATCCAACATCCCTCACAAACCAGCAGGCTCAGCTTCTCTCCTCCTTCCTCCAAACCATTTTAGGCCTTGCAAGTGAGAAAGCAGCAAGTTATCTTTGCCCTTTAAATCACCACGGGTATTTCTGCTCTCCAGCCCCATCTGTGCCAGCAAGGAGAATCACTTCACATGCCACTGTCTGCTGCTGATTTGTTTCCCACACATATTCCCCAACTTGCTACTGGGGAGATGAGCAGGGGAGAAAAAGGAAGAGTTAAAACCAGCACAGCAGCCAGGCCTGTAAGTGGATTGTCTCCATCATATCCTTCAACAGCAATGATCTCAGTCCACTAGGCAGATTCTGCCTCTCAGTTACTCCAACTCTTGTCAGGGCTGAGTGCCTCAGCCCTGCTTGGTTTCTCTGCCCAGTGACTCCAGTCCAGGTTGTGCTGCTAAACTGGGGCTCCCCAGCCTGAGAGGGCAGGTCACCCCAAATCCTGGAGTCACTGGGTGAACCAGCTCCCATGTCCTGAGTGCTGCAGCATCAACGGGAGAGCCAGAGGGAAACACCTCTTCTCCCCTCCAGCCCTTGGGGGCCATCAAGCAACACTATTTACAGACGTGGCAGCTGCCAGAGTTCCTGGAAAGCGCCTGATCCAACACATGCCAGCAACTGTGTGGTGCAGCTGAGAGACATCTCAGGAGAAATCCAGGGCTGAGAGAGCCAAGTGGGGGCTGAGGGGTGCTGGGTGGAGACTCTGGCCAGGTTTGGGAGCACAGACTTTGACAGAAAGGCTGGAGTAGAAGTGCTCCAGGGAAGCAGGTTCCCAGCAGCTTCCACTTGACACAGAGCAGACAAACAAACCACTTGCCTGCTAAAGCAGAGCTTGCACCTAATCCAGCACTTTCCCAGGGCTCACAGTGGGGGCCAAAAGGGACAGCAGCTTCTATAAATCAGCAGCACCGTCACCCCCAGGGAATATGAGACGCTTGGGCTGAGCCAGCTCTTCCCATCACCTCACTTCTCTCCAGCTGTCAGATGGTTCAGCTGTGCCAGGAGAGCAGCTCTGGCTTTCTCCTGAGAGATGGGAGTCCCTCACTGCACACCAGTGACTCCAAGATCAGGAATGTTCAGGAAATGCCCATTTTTAAATAGACAAAGCTGGTCTCAGCTCCATGTACAACCTGACAGGGGGGTTCTTCCACACAAATAGCAAAGGAGTTTTCCCCGACCTTCCTCACCCCTTCAAAAGAAAACACCAACTGCTGAAGAGAAGCCCAGGGAAGACACTCTGGGACATGATGGTGAACTGTAGGTGAGTTGTTTCCTTACCAGGTGTAGTGGGTTGACCCTGGCCAGCTACCAGGTACC